ATATATATATATATATAGTAGAGCAGCCTCTGTGAAGGTTATAAATTTTCTCAGGCCAAGAGTTTGATTCCCTCCGTGAGTTCGGTGTAACAATCAAATATTTGAAGCATCTAAGAATGGTTGAGGTTCAGTCATTCCTTTTTAATATATATAGTTTATTAAAAATTAAATTTCAAGCGTTAGGGTTGGCATGAATGATTTGAGTTTGACTCAAAATCAACTTATGGCTCATTATATTTGATTTTGAACCAGTTTGGTTGGAAATTGAGTTGAGCCCGATTTGACTAAAATCAAAGCGAGTTAGCTCAAATTGCGTTATTTAGATCCATTGCAGCTCAAAACCCCCTCGATCTGGCTCAGAATCTAAATGAGCTAGCTCAAATTGAATTATTTAGATTCATTCCAACTTGAAATCGGCTTGTGACTGGTTCAATTTAATTTTATTTAGCATTATATATATAATTTTTATAAACAAAAACACTTCAAGTCGATCTTTGAGCAATTCAAGCCGATTTAGGATTTATGGCTCGAAATTGGCTAAAAAAATCGATCTAAAGATTTGGCTCATAGCTCGGCTCACTTATTTCAATCCACACTCAATCCGAGCCAAAATTTGAATCCATTTTCAAGCAATTAATGATCTTCGAGGTAAAGCAATTGTCCTATGTGCGTGCGTGTGTGTTGTGCGCGTGCGTGCAAGCACATCTATGTTGACTATTTTTAAGGAAAACATTCATATACATACACATATACATATATACATCATAAACATGTATTTTTTATAAATAACAGACAAAATAGATATAATACGAATGTAATATATAAGTTGATTATCTGAATTGAGAAGAGAGATACCATTACGAAGACCAAAATAAAGTAACTTGCTTCATGCGCTGACTAAGGCGTGGAATTGAGTAAACGTTGACGTTGAATTTTGCATGTAATGCTTTAATATTCATAAATATGTTAAGCAAAGTTGACGGCAAAATAGATAAGAAAAAGTGGAAAATGAAAATTTTAACTTGGAAGAGAAATTTATATATTTTTATTTAGAGTTTGATTCCAGTAAATATTTTAATTAAAATATTTTGATCAAAGTTTAAATATGATAATATTTCTGTTAGAATGTTTTGATCAAAGTTTTAAAATGCTATTACTTTATTTTAAACCGAGTTTTAAATATAATTAACAAAGTAATTATATTTTAAATTTGTCTCGCGCTGGAAGATTCGTAATGGTGGAGTGATAATTTAACATCTTAGTATTGCACGAAGATCCAACACACACACACATAAGAAAAACAACAGTACAGGATATTGTGATTTATTACGTGGAAAAATCCCGAAAAGATAAAAAATGACGAGTCTGCCTCAATCTAAGTAATTTGTTATAAAATATAAGTAAATGAGTTCACTTTTCTTCTGAATTAGGGATGATAAAACTACAATGTTGACAATCACAAATTTACCAGAGTCATCCAAGTTTAATAGCCTTAATTGAGCTACAACAAATGCAATTCTTGACGATAATTGCAATAGTAGTCTGCAAAAGGCCTTCATTGCTTTACAGATAGCGGATTGGGAACAAAGACTGGAGTCGGTGGTTGCGATAATGTCAGTTGACCATATATATATATATATATATATATACACACTCTATCT